TGGTGTAGTCAAGTTGATGCAATAACCCAATAGCCCACGTATTTAAAATCTAATTTATCAAATATTCCGTATTAATAATTAACGTATATTTTCAAACTAAAAATTCCTTTATCCAAAAATCCAAAATCCAAAACTTCATGTGCGAGCTTGTGCAATATATTTGTTGTTGACCTCCACAATGGCTGGTAAAATAAGCTACTCTCCAATTGTGTGGGGCTTCCCTGACTTCGCTATTAGTAAAGATATATTAAAGGACGCTCGTAAACCATCAACGTCTTGCATAGATGATGACGCAAACATCGATCTCATGGATGGCCTTTCCTCTAGTTTTTCTTTAAGTGTTTAAAAAATGACAAGGTCTAACTTTTTTGTCAGCATGTACTCTTGATAAGTGGTCCTTTATTTTACAGTACATTAGTTAATAATTTTTCACACATGAGACACATCGGCAAATGTTTATTTGATTGAGATGGAATGAATCCAAGCTTCAAGTAGTCCAAACTGTATTGTCTTAATTTTTTTCATGTCTGTCATCATAAAACTTGCAGTAAACCTGCAAAACAAAAAAAAATATGTTTAAGAAAATACTTAAAAAAACAATAACAAAACTGTTAAATTTGCACACGAGCTTATTTTTATCACACCTAGGCACTGGATGTTTTTTAGGTATGCTTTCGAACTTACTCATTGATAAAATTGAATATAGTCACTGTAGTATGGATAATTTGTATAAGGCACCAATCAGCGTAAAAAACGAAAACAAAGAAAACTGAACAATCATAATTTTAGGTAACAACTTCTCTAAAGTAATTTAAAAAAATAATTATAAATATAAAAAATATATAATTAATAAATTATTCAGAAGAATCATTATTTTCTATATCAGGATTGCATTCAGCCGCATGAGGAAATTGGAGGAACTAGGGCCTCTAAACCTAAGAGGTGCAAGCATCCAGCTTAAGGGGGAGGTAACATTTCTCGGGGTTATGATTGACTCGAGACTTACCTGGAACCAGCATCTAGAAAAAAACACGAGAAGAGCGGAAACCTGGTTAATGATGTCAAGGCGATCCTTTGGAAAAAAATGGGGGTTAAATCCAGACATGGTATATTGGGTATATTGGCTTTACAAAATGGTGGTGAGACCGATAATAACACGCAGCTTTGGTGTGGTGGCCAAAGACATAGCAAAGGAAAGCAATAACAAGGATAAGCGTGGTACAAAGACTTGCCTGTCTCGGAATAACGGGGGCAATGAAAACAACCCCCACTGCTGCAATGGAAGCACTAATAGGACTCCCACCTCTTCACTATGTGATACAAGGTGCTTACAGATTAGAGAATACACTGGGAAATCTTGACATTAGGCCAGGTCACATGAGTATCTCAAAGTTAGTGACAGAAGACGTGCTAGACATGAGATCAGACCACATAACCAAGAGGTACTCTTTTAATACTCCATTTGAGGTTTTAATACAGGAAAGAGCGGAGATCACCATAAGGGAGCCCAATGCCCAACTACAGGAACAAACCTGGTATACAGATGGGTCTAAGACTGCAGAAGGCACTGGGGCGGGAGTATTCTCCAAAAACCCTGATACTAATCATAGCTATGCTATAGGAATACATTTCTCGGTATTTCAAGCCGAGGTATACGCAATTTTGCAATGTGCAAAAACGAACAATGAAAGAACTTTCGAAAATCAGCATTTTAAAATAATGTCAGACAGCCAAGCAGCACTTAAGGCCATATCGGGTCAGAAAGTTACGTCGAGACTGGTATGGGAATGCATCGAAGAACTAAGAACACTAGAAGACCGAAATAGAGTAAAACTATTTTGGGTGCCAGGTCACCAAGGGATCAAAGGCAACGAAAAGGCTGACGAACTTGCAAAATGAGGGTCAGAAGGAACACCGGAACCAGACACAAATCGAGGAGTACCAAAAGTACAGTCCGGGGTTTCATAAACGACTGGATTCGGGAACAGCATATTAACTATTGGAGAAGCACCCCAAAACAGGCACATGGAAAAGCCTTCATAGGAAGACCATGTCCCAAAAGAACTGGAAAACTACTCTTTATGGATAGGAACCAGTTGAAAGTGATAACAGGGTTGGTGACTGGGAACGCCCCAGTAAAGGGACACTTGAACAAAATTGGCATGTACAATGGGGAACTCATGTGCCGACTGTCACAAGAAACCAGTAACGGCCAAACACATACTATGCGAATGCGAAGCTCTAGATCGCAAAAGACAGGCTCATTTTGGACAACCCCAGGTTGATCCAACAATGTATAAAACCCACTCACCCAAGGATCTGTACAAACTTGTACAAGGTACAAAGGTGACAGAGTGGGTCCTATGAACTAACATGGGGTAAAACACAATAAGCCAGTAGGCTTCAGTGTTATTCGGAGATATAGTCAGATGAGCCCAGGAGAAAAAAAATATCAGGATTAAGACATTTGTCGCAGTTTGTTCTATCATATATTTAGCAGGCATCTATTTATGTACTTATCTAACTAGTTTATATTGTGGTAACACATTTTTAAATCAAGAATTTCAGCTGTAGTAATTCATAAAAATATTTAAAACAAAGAAGATCTAAAGTTTTCCGTTTGCATCTATTTATGTCTCTAATTAGTTTATTGTGAATATCAAATTTTCAAATTGCGATTTTCGGATGTCATTCTCAGAAACTATTTAAAATAGTTTACCTGAGTGCTACATCTATTTATGTCTTAATAGTTTATTGTGATAATCTTTACTTGTCTTATCACATTTAGCAAACATTAAATATTATAATCCCATGCGATATTTGCAACCAATATTCAAAGACACGTGAAGAGATTGATGAGTTATCTTTATATATATTTTTTAAAGCTTACCAGAATGCCCAGTGTGACTCATGTGGCAACCTAGCACAATAGATCTTTTAGGTCGCAGTGTATTAACACCCCATTCACAACATGTGGAAACCTTAGAAATCCGCATGATGATTTTGAACAAATAATGTAATTCTTGCATTTCGTAATTTGTGTCTCTGGACTTTATGCATGTCCTTGTGTGACGTCCAGATTCACATTTCAAACAATTTGGTTGTCTTACGCAATTCGAGGTGGCATGCCCCCACGCCTGGCAGTTGTGGCACTGTATGATCTGTTTAGTAGATCTTCTAAGTTCCCATGTTATCTTAGTGTACAGAGCACCAACTTGACGTTGTGGTTTAAGTATTCTAGAGTGATGGACGGATCAGTCACCACCAGGTATAGGGGTCTGTTTCTGGTTGTCATTCTATAAATTGTCCTTGTTTGGATTTCCTAATTGTACATTAGGTCTTCTTCTAAATCATCTATCTTTGTTCCATCCCCTAGTCCACGTAATAGAAATGCGTGAGACCTATCACTTTTACTTGTATATGTATGGAACGACATTTCTTCGCTTTTTACATTTTGCAGCATGTTGTCATAATCCACTGTATCCTCGATGAATACAATTGTTGAATTGTTCGTGGGCAGATTGGCTCGAGAGGCACTTTGTTGTGTTGGTTCTCTTGCGATGTCTTCGTCTGTACAGAGATTTGCTGCTTGGCTGGTGATTAGCTGTTTAACAATATTCTCCATACTTTTTTGCCGGAAAAAATGTTTCGTGGATTTCCCTGGGATTTGGACTTTGTCTCCCAGATTAGTTGTTAGTCCCTCTGTACTCACAGTTTTTATACCTTCAGTTAGGATAATCCTTCTTCTGGGTCTCGAAATATTCGGGTTACCGATATAGTTTTCCTGGCTTTGTTGAACTAGTTTGTTTTATATGCTTTAACACGGTTTGATAAGTGTTTAGATTTTTCGCATTCTGTATCCGCGGCGCCTACCGCGATCGATGTTGGTTTTCCCGACCGTGTGGTTGCCCTCGAGGGCTCCCCTATGCACGTGGTTACACTCCGTACACTGTTTTATAACTGGCGATACGATTTTGTTCGGATAATAATATAGCAGAAAGACACTTGTAATAGACGGAAAGTAGGGTTATGTTACTTTGAAACTCAAAGAGATGTAGGTTCGGGTAACAGCAGCCTAGGTGAGTTCTAGGTTCACATAGCCGAAAATTCGCAAATATTCCTAATCCGACCCCGAATTCTAAATCGAAGTGACATAAGCAAGGTTAAATTTCTATTTTTAGAAAGGGGCGGGATAAATACTGCTGGTTGTTTTATATGCTGTGGTACAACAGTGATACTTCCTACTAAAACAGTCATTCTTTTAACAAGTTGAACACGTAGCACAACTTATACTGTATCTTGAAAGTTTCAAATAAGAATTTGTGTTAATTAATAGGGGTCGATTCTTGGACCTCGTCGACCCCCAAATTCAGTTTCTGTCTACGTCGATCCCTGGGAAACTAATTTCGACACCAAGGGGGTCAGTATCGACCACTTAGGGAATCCCTGGTTTAGAAGGCGTCGTGAAATAGAAAAACAAAAGAAAGAGAGGATAAGCAAATGTAAAATCAAAAATTTATATTTAAGATCAATTGTATTAAGTATTATTGCTATTTTATATGTACATTAGAAAATTGGGTTTTTATTCTCTTATTCTGACGTTTTGAAATATTGATGGAATATTGATGAATTTGGCAAGTATTGTGTAAAGACGGTACGCTTCCCTGCGCATTTCGAATCACTTTGTATAAGTGCATATTTGCAATTATTAATTATATTTATTTTATAATTTAATTTTAACATTTTGATTAGGATATTTGTTAGGTTAGTAAATAAACATAAATTATACAAATTGGCACATATCTATATTATTATAAGATAATAAACCGCTAATTTTTAAGTGAAACTTTAAAAAATAAAAAACAAATTAAACAAAAATAGACTGTTTTATTGTTAGAGATAACTAAATTGTTATGTTTATCTTTTTTTTATGCTACTCATTTACTATAGACACAGTAATATTCATTAATATTAATAAATAAAATATATTTTCCTTTCAGAAATAGTGATATGGATCCTCAAGTCGACAATGAAGCATCAAAAGATCCAGCAGCAGACCATAAAATAAAACTCCCTTTCGATGAAAAAGATTTTGAAGGTAAAACATCTAAACATATAAAGGAGGTCTTTCAAATTTATTGAATTTTTTACATTAATATATTTTATGTGTTCAATTCTATCCAATTTCGACATATAGGGCGGGTTATAAATCCCAAATTTTAAAAATGGTCACGTCAGCGTGACCGCCAGGTGGGTTTTGTCAGGTTTTAATAGTGAATATCCGTGCACATCGGTGTGTCACCGTGTTATTCTAGCACTTATATATTTTAAAACGTTATGCTTAATTTAAAGGATATAGTCTAATCAAATTAAACATTAAACATTGAGAAAAAAATTGTTAACATTACTTTGATAAATGTAAATGATAGAGGGGCTTATAATAAATAAAAAATATAAATGCAACCCGAGGGCGAGGATGAAGTAAAGTTTTAGGGAGTTTAAAAGGGGCGAAAAATGGTATATTCGCGATTTCCGGCGAATGTTGACGTCAATAACAAAAATCTATACTGTAAAAGTTGTAGTTAAAGCAAAAATCTACAGCTTTTGTAGAGATCACTTCTTATAATAACCTCAAAATTTTCAATAAAAATGCAAAAGTTCGTTCGAATTTTTTTTTGTATTTTATTTTTCTTTTTCCAAAAATAATTCAATTTTGATGAAATTTGGTGAAATTATATCTTTGTGTGTCTTAATTAGGCAACAAAAAATTTAAATAAAGAAATTCCAAAAAGTTTCAGATAATTTTTTTCGGTCAAACTTTTTTTAAAAAAGAAATTCTACGGTGAAAAATTATCGTACAAAGATTTTTACCATTAAAAAACATGATCAAAAATGGATGAAAAAATGACAATAGCAACAATAAATTATTACTTAATATAATATATTTCAATTTAAAAAAAAAATTAAAATACTAATTGCAGTTTTTTATTTTTTGACCAGAATTTTTATTTTTGTATAGGGAAAGGGGACTTTAACTGGAGCTAATTCGCTAGAGCCGCAGGATAAAATATTTAGTTAAAACGCAGGAACAGGTCGATTGGCTTTTTTGTGGTCTTTCCTGTCATATTAAAAAAAAATTTTTCACCGCTTAAGGGGTAAAACCTACATGACTACATGTGACATCTTTTTGGAAAGATCTTTTGACAAGGAAAATGATTGCATTTTTTTTTTTCGATATAATTTTAGCAAATACACAATTTTCCTAAATAAATGTAAAGCTGAGTGACCTCACACAAAAATCAGAATTGCAACTAGGTAGGTTAAACGTTGCATAAGATTAATGACATCAAAAAAATTTTAGACACATTTTAAGGTCTAGTTAAAGTCCTCACTCTGTATACAAAAATAGGAATTCTGGTCAAAAAATAAAAACGGATGCTCTTATATTTTTTCGATACAATTGAATGGTGCAATCAGTTTTTTTTTAATTGTATCAATATTTAAGGAAAAATGCATTGTTGCCATTGGCATTTTTTAATGGTTACTATAGTTTTTTTTTATTTTATCATAAAACTACATGTCAACAAGAAAAAATAAGCACCTGAAGAACTTTGTACCGTACCGTAGAATATTTTTTAAAATTTTTTGAATTTTTTATTAAAATTTTTGCTTATTTAAGATATAAAAAGGTATAAGTTTACCAAATTTAATTAATTTAAAAAATAGGAAAAATTAAAACCGAAAATAAAAAATTCTAGAGAACTTTTGCATTTTTATCGAAATTTTTGAGGTTATGTTAAAAAGTGATCTCTACAAAAGCTGTAGATTTTTGCTTAAATCTACAACTTTTGCATTACTCATTTTTGTTTATGACGTCAACTTTCGCCGGAAAACGCGATAGTACCATTTTTTGACCCTTTTAAACCCCCTAATGTGACATGCTTCCGATTCCACTTACAATGAATCAGGAAGTCTGTATGGTGCTATGATGGTGAGTTCAGAATAGGGGCTGCCCGGGCGCCAGTTTTGGTAACACAGTTTGCTCTGCTACCCTGTAGCACACCAGATTATACTTAAGATAAACTCAGTGGAGTAAAAAAACTTCCAGTCGGTCATTACTAAAGGTAGCTACTAAATTAGAATTAAAGCACTTATCTCCCTTATACCTTGTACCCTACGGTACCCTGAAAGAAAACGGTCAAGAGCCGGTAATAAAAGAAACACAGGGATAAATAACAAAATATATATTCCACCCTATGTTCCACCCTGTAAACAAAAAATAAATTTACTAAAAGGAAAATTAACTTTCATAAACAAATAAGTTGAAATAAATAGAAGGTTCAAAATTCAGAAAACAGTTCTGTTCCACCCTGTAAACAAAAAATAAATTTACTAAAAGGAAAATTAATTTTCATAAACAAAACTTCAGAAAACAGTTCTGTTCCACCCTGTAAACAAAAATAAATTTACTAAAAGGAAAATTAATTTTCATAAACAAATAAGTTGAAATAAATAATCGGTTCAAAACTCAGGAAACAGTTATGTTCCACCCTGCATACAGAAAATAAATTTACCAAAAGGAAAATTAATTTTCATAAACAAATAAGTTGAAATAAATAAATGGTTCAAAACTCAGGAAACAGTTATGTTCCACCCTGTATACAGAAAATAAATTTACTAAAAGGAAAATTAATTTTCAAGAACAAATAAGTTGAAATAAATAAACTGTTCAAAATTCAGAAAACAGTTATGTTCCAACCAAGGGAGGTTTCACAACGCTATAGTCTATTTTTATATATGAGAAAGTATTAAAATAATAAAGCGTTCGTAATCCATAGGCGTACCACTTCTTTTAGTAGACAGTTAAAATATTTTTTGAAGTTATTCTTTGAGTATACACTTATATTTTCACCTAATTAACCTGCTTATAACTTCTAAACAGCTGAAGGTAAAAAAGTGCAATTTTTTCTAAAATGTTTTATTTTTCCACAAGGTATGTTAAGAACATTGTGTCAAACGGGTTATGTAGGTATAAGGGTTTAAACTTTGACTGTTAAACAACGTTACGTTCATAAATAATAATTTTAATATAAAAACTACTTCTTACCTACAAATCCAAATCAGAATCGAAATCAGAAGATGAACTGTCGCAACCAATATTTACAATGAGTGGCTCGATCATTTCATCAGTAATATTGTCCCAACTTCCACATTTTCTCTTCTTCTTTAATCGTATGATTTACTGCCTTTTCCCAGTTTTCAGGCTTCACATTATTTACAGCCTCCAAAAACAACTGTTTAACATCACTCGTTTTAAAAGAATTATTTTTTCTTGAAACTTCTCCCTTTATCTGTGCCCATATCAGTTCAATCGGGTTTACTTCGCAATGATATGGTGGTGATCTAACCACCGTCATCATTTCATATTTTTTGAATTTCTCTTTATGAAGGGAACACAAATGATACAGTTCTTTTCTCACAGAACCGGGATGGAACTTAATATTCTTTGAATTTAGCCAATTCTGTAAATCTTTTTTTAACCACTTGGTTGTGGGCATTTTTTCTATAAGTCTCGAGTGATAACTTGCATTATCCATTACTATTATACAGTTCTGAGGAAGAAGATCTATAATTTGTTCGAACCACTCTTTAAAGACATCAGCATTCATGTCCTCATGGTAGTCACCGGTACGAGTAGATTCAAAAGTCAATAAACCACCTTTAACAAAACCGTTTGAACTACCGATGTGTACTATTATTAGTCTGCGCCCCTTTCCTGATGGTGGATTTAAACCAGTAGATAAATAATTTAAAAAAGCCTGTCTTCGACTTGTAACAGTTTCATCTTTCCAAAATTTATTTGGTTTATGTCCTTCGTTGATCCATGTTTCATCTAAATAAAATATATTTCTTCTTTGGTTTCTCATTTTTTTTATAGTCCTTAGGTAATTTCTTCTCCATACTACAATATCGCTTCTTCCTATTAAAATAGACTTTCTGGAATGCTTTTTCTATAGAAAACCTATTTCTTTTAAAAGTTTCCATAGTGTGCTTCGACTCATTTCAGGGTAATCCTTATCATCTCGAACCGTGGCAAGAACTTTGTCTACTGTCGGAAATTATTTTCTTAAGAAGAACGCATGCACTTTCCTTCGAAGCCTTTCTTTCAAAAGATTTTCTAATTGAAATTTTGGTTTTCCTGGAGCTTTACGTGCTGTTTGAAACTCGCCACATTTCTCTTCTTTAACAACTCTGTAAATCGTAGATTTCCCAACACCAAGCGTACTACTAACTAATTCCACTGTGTCATCAACACTTTTACATAAATGTTTGTCTGTAAATGATTTAAAACAATTAAATATTAATGTTTTTTCATTAACTGTTAAAGGACCGATTTTTTGTCGTTTACGCGGCCCTTCCAAATTTTCCATGATCACACTAGAATTCACACTGCACCTTGCAAGTTGCAACTAAACGACATTTAGTAAACTGTCAAGAATACACAACTTGGACCTCCTTACTAAATGGAAAACCTATAATGGCATTTTCGGTGAAATTTGTTGGAAAGGTATTTATCTACTTATAATTCGATTACTGTAAGAAATTCTTGGAATTAAAATAAAACAAAATTGGCAAATAGGTACTTATTGAAAATAATCTTAAGATACGGCTATTTAATCTTAAATACACAGGGCTTTTGGCCTGTCCAAACCTTTTTCTATTGTTCTGTACAGCTTATGTTTATAAAGGACCAATAAAAGACCCAAAACTTGTAATAGCTCAGGTACATTTACTACAATTTTAGGAAATATTTAGATTATTCTGTAAAAATATTTAAAATAACCGTACGTAAGTTTTGCATTAGAAATGCTGTTTTATTACTTTCTCATACGTAAAAATAGACTATAGATTGCGATAATTTAATATTAAAAAAAAAGAACTGAATGTTATACCGGGCGGCGGTTGCAAAACTTCCTGGATCAGAGCCAATTCGGGAGGTCCGCAAATGTCTCAACCAAGGGAGGTTTGACAAAGCTAGATCGCGATAATTTAATTAAAAATAATTAATAAAAAAAATGAACGCTTAGTTAGAGGACG